ATCATTATTTTCTCAAACTCACCTAATTAGTGAAAATATCATATTTTCTTCCACATATACATTTCGAAATCGGGAGCTATGGATTCATCAAAATGTAGTATTTGTTCGTCTTCCGGCGGCGTGGAATGTTACATGAAGACGCACGATATGCTACGATGGAAATCAGGCGAGACGGTCGATATAAAAACAATAGGCGTGTTAGAACCGCTCGGGGAGTTGTATGTGGATCGACCTGTATTTTTCAAGAGAGTGTTTCGTGATCACGAAGAATTGTTTAAGAAAATCGGAGATGCAATTACGATGAAGAAGATGAAGAAGAAGAAGAAGAAGATGATGACACGTAGCATGAGTGTGAGTAAAATAATCAATCAAAGAGGTTTGGATGATGGGATTGATGGATTGAAACTTGAGAGGTTTAAAGTGAAGACACCAAATGTAATGGTGGAGTCGGATGATCAGAGTTAGATACGTACAAGACTTGAAATGACCGTAATGCCCTTTTTCGTTATTGGTGTCGTAAGTTTTTTCTTTTTTGTTTTTGTTTTTGTTTTTTTGTTATTTTCTTGGAATATCTTATAGATAGATGTTTCATGTTCGTAATGAATTCATAAGCGTCGTTATGTTATGTTATTCTTATGGGATGTGATCAATGTCGTTTCATTTTTTAATAATATCGGTTCGACTTTAAACGAGATTTTAACCATTTTTAAGTCTGAATTGAAAAAACTCAAAACACACAGTAAGTTGTATTTTATTGAGTTGCCTTCCTATTACAACTTGCTTCAGCAAGATCAGATGCCGGACGAGAAAGATATAAATGAATCAATGAACATTACGTACAATTTTGGTATTTGAGTTATTTAAAATCCAAGATGTTACTAATTCATGCATAACGTTGTCACATGCCATCGATTTTGGCTAATTTAAGTTGGATTAAAAACTTAATTCACATGACTATAACTTTTGTGTTTTATACAAACATCAAACTAAAAATTATCAAAATCACGTTCGAAGGCAAAACGATATTAGTAAAATTGAAACAATATTAAGATTTGTGTTTTCGTCGCATGGTAGAGAAAGTTTATTGTTTCCTAGTGTTGCTTCCAAAAACTTCATTTGTTAGTTAATTTGATGGAGTCCAGCAAAGATTTAGGGGGGCGTTTGAAACAAACTTATTTAAAAACAGAAGTTAGTGATTGTGAGTTAAATCGATTTTAAGTTGTTTTATAGAGCACATTTAAACTTGTTTTCTCTATTTAAATTTATTTTTCAGAATATTTAAAACAACCATCATCTTGTAAAAATAAGCATATAATACTCACTTAAATCAAAATCACTAGTATGCTTTTAAATAAACTTTGATGACAAACACCTAAATATTCCATGAACAGTTGGGAAAGAAATGGTCAAGGTAAAAAATAAGAAAAGTCAATACATACCAAATAATTAATTTTAGAAATGTTCAAACGTGCAAGCAAGCCAATAGAGTGCATTCTAAATATAATATATTTAAATTACGTTTATATTTCAAACTATATCTTAATTTTTCCTCAAAAAATATATTAATATAAACTTCAAAAAATAATATTATATTAATAATAAACTTCAAAAGTATATTAATACATTTGTAGTACAGGTATACAAATATATTAAATCTAGAATAAATGGTGTAGAAATTATTAAAACACGTATATATGTTCATAATTCCAAGCTAGTCATCCCCGCGTCTATCTTGGCAATTTACACGCGCAGTCTTCTTACACTTAGTCAACGGTCAACATTGAAACAATTTGCTGCTTGCTTGTCCAACAAGTGATTTTATTTTTATTTTTTTTAAACCTACATATATATATATATTTATATATACACCCACATTCTTGCAAACTTTCATTAATTATTTCATCTCAACAATATTATTATTCTCTCATAATCACCCAATATTTTTTTTTTTTGGCAAAAAAGTGAGCTTTATTTATATATCGTTGAGGTAACAATATAATATTTTTGATCTCTTTGATTTTTTTTTTTCCGAAGTCGAAGCTATTAATATCATTCGTATGGATTCATCGAACTGTCGTATTTGTTCGTATTGGAACAAGGATTGTCACACGGTAACGCACGATTTGATAAGATGGAAATCGGGTAAGTTGGTCGATCCGGAGATTCTGATGCTCTTGGAATCTTTCGAGGAACTATATATGGACCGACGCGAGTTTTTCAAGAAAATATTTCGTGGGAACCACGAAGAATTGTTTAAGAAAATCGGAGATGCGGTGACGAAGAAGAAGAAGATGAAGAAGGCTAAGAGCATGCCGCGTAGCATGAGCATGAGAGCAATCGGAACAAGGGGTTTGGATTTGGATGATGGGATGATTGATGGAATTAAACTTGGGAGGTTTAAAGTTAGGACACCAAATGTACTCGTGGACGAACCCGAGGACATGACGTGAAATGACCGTAATACCCTTTTCATCCCCCCCCCCCCCCCCCCCCCCCCAATTTTTTTAGATGTTTGTAAATTGTAATGAAAATCATAAGTATTTAATTCTGTTATGTTAGATGCAAACAAATTGAAGTTGTATCTTAATTTTTTTGTTTTTTGGAATCATTATTAATAATATATATAAATATTATATTAATATGAGTTTTTATTAATTTATTAAACAATGAAGATGGGTGTTTGAATTGGGCCTCGACAAATTGATGGAAAGGCCCAATGGGTCAAAATTAAGGTAAAGTGTTGACTATGATATAATAATAAACAAGTGAATTAAATTAATTGAAGCTTATCCATAACCAGCAGAGCATGATAGTGCATATAATTTGAATACCTGGTGACAACTTTGAAGTCAACCTACAATGATTAACACTATTTTACAAAATTGTTCAGCACTTTTCCCGCCATTTATTGTGAAAAAAATGTGATGTTTCCTTTTTTATTTGGAATAAAAAAATATATATATATTCTTATTTAGAGAAATATAATAAGAATGTGTGCATTAGGAATACCCAATAGACTCGTCTTTCTCTTGTGTTACAAGACTGTACTTTTACATATTGTAGGGATGAGTTGGTGCGCCCCCGTTATGTTTTTTTATCGGTGAACTTGATCTATGCAATTTGAGTCAGTTAAATGGAAAGAGTCCGCTGATGTGGTCGCTTATTGTTATGCCGTAAGTGTGCATCTCCCTTGTTCATGTCATGATGCAGGAAACTCCGCCTTTGTTTCTAACATTTAGCTGAATGTAGTCAGAAACTCACATCCGACGTCTATATCTACCCTACGTGGGACTAGGGATGGCAATATTACCCGACCCGGTGGGTACCCGCCCCTCCCCGCCCCGTTTTCGACGGGTAATACCCGTCCCGTTAAGGATTGGGGCGGGTAAGGGTATTACAATTTATACCCGCAACGGGTAAGGGGCGGGTACGGGTGTAGTAAAATTTACCCTGTACCCGACCCGTACCCGCCCCATTTACCACCCATATTTTTTATTTACGTATAATACCCCTATATGCATATTTAATATAATGTATATTATATTTTTATAAAATGATTGTTGATTTGCATTTATATTTTAATCGTATTTAGTAATTAGCAAGTATATATATTTAAGGAACATAACTAAAATTGATTTTAATATTCAAAGTAAGAAGGAAAAGCCAAAATGGAAGAGAGAAAAAAGCGGGTCGTCAAACGGGGCGGGTACCCGCCGGTGCAAAATGGGGCGGGGGCGGGTTCGACAATTCCAACCCGCAACGGGTATGGGGCGGGTGAGGGTTGCTTGATTTCCCAAACGGGGCGGGTGCGGGGATTGCGATACCCGCCCCATACCCGCCCCATGGCCATCCCTACGTGGGACTAATGACATGCTCTATAGAGTGTCAGCGATCGATCAAAGTAAGATTGAGTCTGATTTGTCTTTGGGCTTTTATATGAGATTCTTACTATCCGGACTTCAAGGCAATTGTGACCCTATCACATGTACCAACTCTCGTAACGACAACTGATATTTTTTTTTTTTTTTTAAATAACCGGCTGCCTTTTTATGAATGATTATATTAACATCCCACTATGATTTTGATTAAACAATACTTAAAATGCAATTAATATCATTAATTAATTCTTCTAACAACAATACATATATCATCACGTGAAGATTTTGATTCCAACTTTTGAAACAAATATAATGTAAAATCCCATCTTGCCAATCGCTTCAAAACAAAAGTGTACCAAACGTTAATTCAAGTCAAAAAGCCTCAACTAATTATCATAAACAATTCTGATTAATTATTTAATTTTTGGTTCAAACAACCAAATTAAAGTAATGTGAAAGAGTAAATAAAACTTGGTTGAATTAATGCTTTAGAACACCTCCAATACGTGCTTATTTGAATATTAATTTTCTTACATCTCAAACTCGAGCTCGTTTTATTTAATATTTACAAATAATTAATATTTTAAATGGAAGTCGTTTTATTTATGTTTTATTTATTTTTGTAATAGCACGTTACCTATGCAGTAGACTACAACCCTATTGGCTGGATTTATTACATAACGTGATTTAGAGTCAGCAGAAATAGCACTCCATCTGTGACTATGCAGTAACCACAATTACGTATATACTATATTGTATATATATATATATATTTTTTTTTTTTCTTCTTTTTTTTTTATAAATTATTTTATTATTAATCTATATAAGGAGTGGATGGACGAAGCCCATCCCAATTTTCGCTTTTCTTTCAGCCCATTTAATACTAAAACGACGCCGTTTCTATTTTCCTTGCATTCCTGCAATTTATATATAAATATAAATAAAGAAGAGTGTGAAAATGGCAGAAAAATGTCAAAATTAATTTTCAAAGTTTTTTCTTCACCTTTTAGCCAGGAAAATCTTGCTGAAACTTAATTTTCGAATTCCATTAACTAAGGTGTCTTTTTCTCTCACCTGCTTCATCTCTCTCTCTCTCTCTCACACACACACTAAACACACAAAACACACACAGTGAGAGTATTTCTGTAATATATAAGTATATGCTTGTATTTCCCAAGATGGGGGTCCTTGACTTTGGCTCAGCCAAATCCCACCATGGCTTCTCTCCCACCACCACCATTACTCTTTTCTTTAAAACCACTGACACCCAATTTAGAGAGAGAGAGAGAGAGAGAGAAAGCTAGAGAGAGAAAGGGAAAGTGAGAGATAGACCTCACTACGTCTGGAATCTTTCTCATTTACTCGTTTCATCGCCTTGATTTGCATAGATTCGTTAGATAATTAAGTGTTTGAAAAAAAAATTCTCAATTAGATTTGCAGATGTGGGGGACACTCACAAGTAGGGACAACACACACACACCACTACAGAAGCAAAAGGAAAACGAACAAATCATAACCGAATTGGGGAATTTTTTCTTCTTCTTTTTTTGATTGATTGATAAAAGTGCGCACTAACACCACCACTGTGTGTGAAAAAGACAATGATATCCCCGGGGATAAACTTGGTGATGACTGTGATCGGATTTGGTCTGAGTATTACGTTCATAGTGTTTGTTTGCACCCGCCTCATTTGTGCTCGAATCCATTTGAATGCTTCTCGCAGGTTTTTCGCACGTGCTGCTGCTGCTGGATCTGATCTCACCACTGTAAGCATTTGTTCCCCCCCATGCCGATTTAATTTGTGTTTGTTGCTCGTTGGTTCGCGTTTTAGGTGCCGATTTGAACTTAAATCTTTGAATCTGAGTTGTTTAGTATAATTTGAATTAGGTCGATTAAATACGTCTCGCAAATAGCTTCGTATTAATTCGACTCGTGTTTAATTGTATTGTATTGCATTCCCCTGTTCTTTTTTGCTTCTTGTCGGAGAAAATTCGGAAATAATTCGTTTATTGATTTCCTAATATAGTAGTTCTACTGGCCCCTATTGTGATTTACGCATTTGTAGCTTGTGTTAATTCTCAGCCTAGTAGGACCGAGAATCTTGTTCGATAAAAACCAGCCAAAGGGCTATTTTCTTTTTTATGCATTGTTTCCATTTACGGCATTTTAATTCGGTTTTTTCGTTTTCGTACAGTTGGAGAGGGGTCTAGAGCCTATTACGCCGGCCAACTTCCCTATGAAGAAGTATAAAGAATTATGCTTGCCCTCTAAAGAAAATGCTTCGTAAGTCGATCGATCTCAGCCAAATTCGATTGCCTTATTCCATCCCTCACTCTCTCTCTCTCTAGACTCACACACACTCACACACACACATGCATACAGCCAAATTGGCTATATTGTTTGGCGATTTGCACATCAACTATTACTTGGTATGTGCATCGGAGTACTTTTAAATCGAGTTGTACTGGTTTATTTGTTCACTTTTTTGATATTTCTATTGTAGTGATAAAAGGCAGTAGTTGAAATACGATCATGCTAAAGAAATTCCAATTTTCAGACAGTTCCTAGGAAAAGACCAACCTAAATTATGAAGTCCTGCTAGCCTTACGAAGGAACAAAAAAAATCAGCCCGTTTTGTGCTCGATCAGTAACTTCTTTAACAGTGGTACTTTAGTTGGTTTATGTAGATAGAATAGTTCTATTTCTCAGGCTAAGATCATATTTTATTGCTCGTTGAACTTAAGGTCGATCTTTTAGAACTCGAGGCCGATTCTAGATGGGACATCTAAATATGAATGAGAGGAGAAGTATAGGCTAGAGTTACACGAGCTAAGCTAAATTTATTTGCTCAAGTTGTTTTTCGAGGACAAAAAAAAATGCAGATAAAAATCAACGAGTCCTTCAATTTGCTCATAGAAACATTAAACAACACATTTTACTAATTCGAAACACGACCATTTTGTGACGACTGATAAAGAAATTCGATATTTCGATTGTATTATTTCAGTCACAGGTGCAGTGTGTGCCTATCCGACTACCAAGAGGAAGACTCGTTGTACATCCTCCCGATCTGCGGCCATTTCTTCCACGCAACTTGCATCGGGATATGGCTGCAGCAGCATCCCACTTGTCCGGTTTGCAGAGTTTCGATCCAGCGCAACAAGTGGTTCATGCACCCCATGTTCAGCTCCGCCCTCCGATCCCAGCACAGTATGCAAGCTGTGAACGCTCATTACTGCCGGTGCATGGGGAACAACAACGATGGCCGTTCATCTAGAAGATCGACGGTGGATGGGGAGATTGTCGATGTTCGTTGTCACTCGGTTAATCTTGGAGATAGAAACTCTACTGTCACCGTTGATTGTCAACGGGTTAGCAAGAACTGTGAGTCGGATAGGATAGTAAAGTAGAATTGAATTAGTCTTTTTTTTTTTCTCGGACGGGTAAAGAGCAATGCTCGAAAGTTGGCATGGGTTTCTTTTTGGGGCTTTCTGTATATATATGTCATTGTTGAAAATTGAAGAAACTATTGCGACTTAAAAGTGTTCTTGTTTTCTCATTATATATTGTACGTAGGCCTAGAAAATATGGGGGAAAAAAAAAAATTAGAAATGTGACCACAGTGGGAGTCGTACCCACGACCTTTGGATCCGAAGTCAAACGCGCAAATAAAGCCTAGTAAGCCCCTTGTTCAAGTTAATCCATTCTTGTCTTTTTTGAAAAGCATGTAGCATAAGGCATGACGATGATCCTAGTATCTCTGCCACATGATTATATGTCAAAATCTAAAACCACCTTCTTCACTTTTTAT